TCTCTCATGGTCCTGAAACTGTAATCTTATTGAAGGGGTGGATTGAGACCATCTTCTGGGTCTTCTTGAAGACAGGTTATTAAGTTTATATTGACTGGTATCTATTTTTTTCTGTTGGAAGACCATCAAAATGGAGGATGGATCAACATAGATACTTTGGAATACTGTCAGAAAATATCTCCGGGTCCGCTCCAGTTATTGACCATGTTACCTGTTGTGCATGATTAAAATTCAATGTTGACTGACAGTGCTATTATAAGCATTATTTATTATTGCATCAAAATTGACAAAATGACCTTTTTTTGCATCTTTATTTTCTGTTTTTTTGTCTGTACATTTGACAGCTTTGCTGCCTTGTATTACGGATACCGTGTCTAACGTGATTAATGGTTTTAAGATTACAAAATAGTGGTGAAAATATACATATTTTATACCATTTAGTAAAATTTATAAGAGGTACCCCCTCAAATCGACTGTTTCACTGTGACTACAGATGTAAAGAAATGTCTATAAAATTGAAATGACGCCATCAAATGTCACCAAATTCACACACAATAAGCATTAGGGTATGCTCGATAAAGGTCACGTGCCTAACAGCATGTGCGTCTACCGCGTACTGCAATTATCTTCTGTAGATGGCAACAAGCCTTCAACACGGGTTACAATTCTGCTTTGTGGGATATTGTCCGATTCTTCTTAAACAAGCTGGGGGATTTGGCCCAGGTTTTTATGGGGTTGGTTCTCCTTTGCATTGCACACTCCAATTCATGTCACAGTTGATTAGTAAGTTTAATATCAGGGCTCAAAGATGGTGGTGCCATCCTTAGGCCATTGTGTTTCTTCAACAAACACTTGCCAGGCGAAAGGTGTGAGCAAGTGTGCAGTCATGATAAAGCCTGAAGTTAACCTTAAAGTCAGTTCTTGAAGATGGAATGAGATATCAGCTGAGAATGCTACGTTCAGTGATCCCACAGGCACCTGAACCTGGTCATCCATCACTGGAAGGAAGTCGATTTTTGATGCAGAATTAAATTATTACTTGTATCCCATCGATGGTCAAAAAGGGTCCATAAACATGTTATGAAATATCTCTAGGAAGGGTGTGTGTAGGGTAATATGGCCTCAGGTGTCAGATCAATCTGCATTTGGAGAACATTCCAAGCCCATGATATTAGTACATTGTTCCTTTTGGAACAAAACGTAACAGGGACATTTTTATGTAACATTCTCAACAGAAATCTCATTCTATTTGCAAGAGGTGACTTCAGGGATGCAACTGGCCCCATTATGACAAGGCGCTTGTTCACAGCTCTCGTCTGGCAAATGATTTGTTGCAGAAACACAGGGCTCTGAGGATGGGACAACCGTCTTTGAGTCCGGATATTAATCCTACTGAGCACCTGTTGCATGAATTGGAATGTGCATTGCAGAGGAGAACCAATTCCTAAATAATCTTGACCAATTCCGTCACACTCTTTAGGCGGAATGGGACAATATCCCACATAACAGAATTGTTGCCCATGTTGAAGGCTTGTCGCGCCATCTACAGGAGATAATTGCAGTACGCGGTAGATGCACACGCTGTTAGCACGTGATCTTTAACGAGCGCACCCTAATGCTAATTGTGTGTGAATTTGGTGACATTTGATGGCGTCTTTTCAATTTTATAGACATTTCTTTACATCTGTAGAAATCACAGTGAAACAGTCGAACTGAGGTGTACCTCTTATAAATTTAACTAAATGGTATAAAATGTGTATATTTTCACCACTTTTTTGTATTTTTTTAACCATGAATCATGTTAGACACGGTATCCGTAATAAAAAGCTCTATTTCTAACAGTTCACAGCTGTGAGGTGATCATTTGTAAATAAAAGTACATGGAAATGGGGGTGGGACAACCTTTTTGACCAATGTTGTATACAGCCAGACATGGCGTACAATCTACAAATATACCACCATATGTCCGTCCTCGGTGGCTACTGCCTTTCACATTCTCTGTTAGCGTCAAGTATGAATTGATGCTGCCATTTTGCTTTATGCTGTCGTTGATAACCCAATTCTGTACGTACCACGTCTCTGCAGTCATTACATGCTATTGCGTTTGAGGTACACTATGTTTTTATGTCACTTCTTCTTTTATTTTAATGTGTAAAGGAAATGAAGGAAGAAATAGAACAAGAAAGTCAAAGAGATGATCACAAGATTTACGATTCTTTCATCTTGTTTCTACTGAGCCATGGTACCAAGGGTGCTGTTTATGGAACGGATGGCTATCCTTTACCCTTCAAAGATATCAAAGCCATTTTGAATAACAGGAACTGTCTTGGCCTGTCGGGCAAACCGAAAATGATATTTATTCAGGCTTGCCAGGGAAGTAAGTTATGGAATGTATTACACAAGCTTGAATACCTGCGATGAAAATAACATGCAAAATTATTAAACAAATGTATTGAGATATTAAACTGTATTAACAGTTTGTCTCCTTTAAATTATATTCAGCCACACGAAA